AAAAAAAAAAAAAAAAAAAAAAAAAAAAGAGTGGAATAAAAAGTAATGTTTTTAAGGCAGTGATTTTTTTTTTTTTAATGAAAAAGTAGTATAATGAAGACTTTAAAATTGGGAAAAACAGAATGTTTTTATCAATTACCTTGGGGAAATTTATAAGGCTATTTTGCACTCTTTTTTTTTTTTAGTATCGGGTTTCAAACTCCGGTCCTTGCACTTGCAAGGCAGGCAGCAGAATCACTGAGCTAAATCCCTGGCCCTTCACTCTACTTTTAAATCTTTTCTTTTAAAACACAAAGTCACTAAAATTCATAATAGGCCCCTCCAGGCCAGGCCATGCTCAGTGTGTGCTAGGCTGTCACCAAACAATAAGGGTCCCCTGAAAGAGGCCTTTAAACAAAAGCCAAGGTTGTATAAAAGGTACCATGTTTTGGAAGGAGGCAGCAAGTGCAGGGGCCCTACGAAGCAGGGAGAAGAGCAAAGGAGTGGGCTTCCCTGAGCTCCAGCCATCCTTAGCAGTTACCAACACCACCTCACCTGGCTCCCCTCCCCGCTCTCCATTCCTGCAGACCCGAGAGGCCTGCTCATCCCCTCTAACACCACTGATTCTTCCAGGAAACCTGGAGTGGCTTGTCCTACCTGCCCTGGGCCACGCCCCCAGGCCCTCACCGATAAGCATGCGGTATTTGTGCGGGTGTCGAGCATCCTCAATCACGGGAATAATGTTGGTCCTCTTCTTGGCCAAGTTGATAAGATCACGGCCAGAGCGGTGGGAGAACTCAACTGCGTAGACCAGGCCATCCTAAAATAGATTCGATGATAACGAACAGTGACACAGGTTCTCATGTATGAAGTATGTACTCCAGGCCCCTGTACTACACACAGCGTCTCTTCAGACCCCCAAACCAAAAACATACCATTTATTGACTATTGTTATCATGTCTACATTACAGATGAATAAACAGGTAGAAAGATATGAAGTCACTGACCAAGTCATTCTGCAAACAGCAAAACTACACAATCCAAATTTGCCTGATCTGAGGGACTAGGCTCCCAGCAGAAACACACAGACAACTAATGAAAGGTAAGTGTATTTGAAATGGGCAGGCACTCTCAGGAATTAAATTGTTTAATTTTCATAAAACCCCATTCTGGCTAAACTGAGACTCAGGTTAGTTAACTTGCTGAAAGCCACATCATCATAAAATGCCTACAAAATAGCCTGGAGTGTCTGACCACCAAATTAAACAGCCTCTAGTCATGTAAAGAAGTGGTGGAGTGAAACACACAGGTACCAAGTACCCTCTACAGGAGAAACCTGGATAGCCACAGAGAAATGCAGACCATCCAGAACTATGAGAACTACCAGTTCCCTCAAGTGAAACCAGAAGACCAGAATTTGGGAGCATGACTTTTTTCTTTATCTTGGATACAGGATCTAACTAAAAAGCTACTCAGGCCTCGAATTCACATCTTCTCGCTTCAGCCTCCTGAGTAAATGAAGTAACAGGCATGTACCATCACACCCAGCTGGGGGCGTGAAATTTTTAGGAGGGAAACCAAACTGCCTACTCCCCTCTCTTTGGGTCCCACTAGTGATGGTTTAACCACACCTCTTTCCTCAAAGCCTCAAGTTGTCTGCTGATTGATAGGCACATGGTATGTGGAAACAGCCAGACTCTCATTCCAGACTGGCAGAGGTGACCCACCCCCCAACCCTTCCGACTCACCAGGCCTACGATGTCAGAGACATGGGAGACTGTGGTACCAGAGGCCGCCCCGAGGTAGAGCACCTTGGCCCCAGGCTTGATGTGGATCTGGTCCACGCCACCAAGGATTGCTGCAGCAAGTTTGGAGCGGAAGGGGTTCCAGGCTCGGTACTCAATTTTGTCATCTCCCTCCTGCGGCAGGAGAGATGGGGGCAGCAGTCAGAGCTAGGATCTTCTGCAGAATCACCTTTAACCTCAGTGCCCTCAAAAGAAACTCATGGGGAAATCATCATACAGGAACTGAACACGAGCACACAGTAGTGACCACGCACAGAAGCCCTTGTCCTCTCATGGATGTTGCTGACTCAGAAAGAAGAGGAAGCAAGCGACAGGAAACAGTAACAATAAGACCGGCACACTCAGTCACCATCTCCTGTCTCAGCACCTGCTTATGCTGTCCCTGTTCCAGGCACTAGGGACACCACAGTGAAGAAAGATGTACATCAGCCCTTGCAGACTAAATATGCACTAAAGTAACTAAGAAATTACAGCCTGCCACAGATGATGGGGACAAGTGCTGCGGAGAGACCAAGCCAGGAAAGTGGGTGGAAAGCACAGGAAGTAGGGTGAAGGACAGGTGAGAATCACAGGATGGCCAGGAAGGTGACTTCTGAGGGGCAGAGGGTGCGGCTCAAGCTGGGAGAGGGGAGAACAAGAAGACCAGTGTGGCTAGGGGCACTTTGTCAGAAGGGGAGGAGAGGTCCACTGAGGCACGGTGAGAATGCAGGACCTTCAGGCAGTGCCGAGTCTCGAAGACAGAGGAGGGGAGCATAAGGTCCCACTTATGTACTAAGATGATCCCCTGGCTGTCACTCGTAGGTACCACAGCAGGCGCAAGGAGACCAGACGACTTGTGACACATCAGCTGGGGCGTGGCTTGCCCAGGGGACCAGGTCTCACCGAAATGGAGACTCTCTTCTCTCCATAAACAGACTCTCCAGGGACTAGATTCTTGGTAACAAGTGCATCTTCCTTTCCACGACAAATGAAGACACCTGTTATGAGGAGCAGAGCAGGCTGAGGACTCCGCGGTCCCACACCAGCCCTAACCTTGGAGCAGCTGCCTGTCACCCTCACTCACCTTCGTGTCGGTGAGGTTCCACCATCACATTCTTTCCCGATTGGTTTCCTCTTTTTCCTCCCCGGCCACGACCGCGGCTGCCACCTTGGAAGCCCCCACCTACAAGAGAGTAACAGTAGGAGAGGGAAACCCCACCTCTTCCCTTCTGTGTTTAAGAAGGCCCCCTCCAACCTCACTTACCCCGTCCTCCTCCGCCGCCGCCACCTCCTCCTCGGCCACCACGGCCTCTAAAGCCTCCACCGCCTCGACCCCGGCCGCCACCAAAGCCCCCTCGGCCTCCACCACGACCACCACGACCTCCGCGGTCACCAAAGCCCCCTCGGCCGCCAAAGCCACCTCCACGGGGACTGAAACCTGCAGGCAAGATGAAAACAAGAGTCAGGGCAGTGACACCAACAGCTTGAATAGCACTGACTCTGCGGCTGCTCTCGGGTGAGAACCCAGAGAAGCACGTGTCTCCGGGCACCAGAACACGTGGCCAAGGAGGTCCACAGCAGCAGAAAACAGGATGGATCCATATGTCCGGCAACAGAATGGACAGAGGAAATGGAAAACAATCCTAAGAACAACGAAGATGACCTTCAGTTAAACACCATAGGTAGAGAAGGCTTAGAATAACGTTAAAGTGAAAGAAAGCAAGTTTCTACCAAGCATATCCAAACAAAATCTTTTTATAAAGGTCAGCAACAACTAAAACTAAGCCATGCTATGCTCTTTTGATATATGTGGTAGCCCCACTTTCCCCAAAAAGAGGCAAGATAACGGTGAAACTCATGATGCGGGTTACTGCTTGGGAAGGAGACATTACGCAGTTAGCAGAGGCAGGATACGGAAATAGCTGCAGGTTACAACTGATATTCAATTGATTCATAGAAGTCCTTTTGTCATCTAGTGAACCCCAGCCAAGCATGGCAGTGCACACCTATAATCCCGGCATCTGGTAGGCTGAGGTTGTAGGAGCCCAAATTCCAGCCCAGCCAGGGCAATTTAATGAGACACTGTCTCAAAAAAAAAAAAAAAAAAAAGGACTGAGGATGTCGCTCATTGTGAAGGTCCTGGGTTCAATCCCCAGTTCTGCCCTCCTCCATCAGTGAGCCCTGTGTGTGTGCATTTGCTGTGCTAAGAGGGTCCTCTGGAGCCTGGAAGCATCTTCCTGCCTTCTCACCTTCACCTTGTATCTGGAAGAAAAGTGCCACCCCTACTCCAAAGAGCTCCCTGCTAACTCATCTGCCTCTTCTCAAGCTCAAAACATTCCTCCCTTTAATGGTATCGATGACGAAAGTGTCATTTTCTTTCTCCTTTATTTTTGTTTTTTTCACATGTAATTTAACAGCCATTATTAAATTAAATTTTTAATGGACAGTTTAATTTCCAGAACTCCCAGTCACAACCAGGAGATGCTTACTTTTTTATCAAGGGGAAAAAAAAAACTGTCCTTTTTAGGATGGGCAACAATCTACAAGTAGTTTAAGGCTTGTCTATAAGGTCAAAAAATTTAAAAAATAGATTCTGAGACTTTATTTTTGTCGCTTCAGGACAGGACAAATACTGCTCACTGAGCACAAAACAATGTTTGAAGCAGACCAAATCATTCCTGTGCTAACAGATTCAATATTCAACTCTTCCATGGTGACTTCAAAAGCTCTGAAGTACTGTTTTGAAAACTTACATAAATTTTTCAATTTTCAATGGTGGTATAGGCCTATAATCCCAGCAACTGGGAGGCTGAGGCAGGAGGCAAGGACACCCTGGGCTACATAGTAAGTTCAAGGCCAGTCTGGAACCCGTACTGAGACTCTGACTCAAAAACATGAAAAAAAAATTTTTTTTGAGTTACTGAACCAGTTTGATATCTCACTGTGTAAATTATTCAATTATTCAACATAAACTTGCCAACATCTTGGTAAAGATGCATCTTGTTCACACCCTATGCTATCTTTGTGCATTGAATGGTATTAAAGATGAAAATGTAATTTAGCAGCCAGGGACATAGCTCACCAGCACAACATCTGCCTGGCAAGAGTGAAGCCCTGAGTTTGACTCTCAATACAAAATTAATAATAATAATAATAATAATAATAATAATAAATAATAATAGTACTTTGGTTATCTTCTACTCCCTCTACTTTCCATATAGCAAGCTGGTAAGATGATGTTGGTAAACTGGTGTTCAACCCCAGGGGCACAAACCACTGACCTACATTCCTGGCCCTTTTTATTTTTTGAGACACAGTCTCACTAACTTGCCAAGGTGGGACTCAAATTCCTAATTCCCTCTTAGTCTCCACAGTTCCAGGATTATAGGTGTGAGTCACCACACTCACTTTGGATAATCTTTTAAAAATAGCAAATCAGTTAGCCGGGCGTGGTGGCTCATGACTGTAATCCCAGGACTCGGGAGGCTGAGGCAGGAGGAATGCTGTCAGTTTGAGACCAGCCTGGGCCATAGTGAGT